CCTTCCTTCCTTCCTTCCTTCCTTCCTTCCTTCCTTCCCTCCCTCCCTCCCTCCCTCCCTCCCTTCTTTTAATGTATTTGTACATTTTCTTTTTCCTTCATCACAGAAATTTTCCTTTCTCACTCTCATTTGTCTATGACAACACCCATAACAAGAGCTATTCCTTCTTCTTTGTGTTTCAGAAAACATTTTCTTTATGTCCTGCTCTGTCACTTCTCTTTTGTCACAGGGTAGGGAAATACATCCAGCCATGTCTTTGACCCCAGTCAACCTATTCATCAACTGAAGTTTTATTGCTACTTAGCCTGTTGTGGAACAAACTCAGATTGCTACTACAAACCTTTTTTTGCCTTTGTGTTCAGAGAGTACATTTACTCCCAAGCATTTGAAAGTACAGCAGCACTTACTAGCTTTGGCTAGGTAGACAGCAGGTGGCATTCCTGACCACACCTTGTTCTGGTTGTATTCAGGCTGAACTGTGCTCCTGTCTGTGCACCAAATGAGTGGTTTGTGAGCACTTTCACCAGCTGCACAGCAGGAACAGCTGTCAAACAGTTTTGCTGTCTGAGAGGGAAAGCCCACAAAACCAGAAACCACCACAGTAAGGAATGAAGCAAATTAACAGAACACCCTGTGCCAGGCCTTTCTTTACTGACACCAGTAGTTCTACTGCTGTGTCAAGCTTTGGTAAGGGAACTTGCAGTGGTGTAAATTACACACAATACACATTGTCACACAGAAACTGATCACTGAAATCAAAGTACCTTCTGGGAGTTACAGATCACAAAATCCCAAGCATTTTATTCCACAGTGTACATCCAATTGATTTAACAGGATGTTTGCTGATGGGCAAGCAGACTGGTAAGATTGTCATGCCAAATCACTTTTGTGATGAATATAAGACGTGGCACACCAGCTGAGGTCTAGATGGTGACTTCGTTGCAGTCACATTTACATTTCTGTTTAAAAAATCTGTTCTGAGGAAAAATCTATCCTTCAGAAATTATCCGTATCAGAAAAAGAGATGATTTCTTTCTATAGCTGCATCTAATATTCCTAAAAGATGAACAAGATATAAGCACTGGTATCCTCATACAAACAGCTTTTAGACTTGTGAGAGGTAAAAAAGTGCTCCCTTGATTATTTCTTCTCATTTTTTCAAAAGAACACATGCATAGATGAACACATGTTGTTTCAAAACTCCATTGGTTCCTGTCAGCCCAATGTTTTACATTAGCTGGAAGCATTCTGGCTTGGGAAACACATTCTTGAAGAAATGCACACCCATGAAGAAGCATCTGAAAACAGAACTGGTTGCTTCAAAAGAAAATGCATGTACCAACTAATATAGGGAATTCTTTCTGGCTCCTTGTATGTTTGTGGTATAACTTGTTGGACAAGACTTGGCAATGGTTGTGACTTATCTGACACTTGTGTTTCAGATGTTGGAGCCTTTCTGACTTCAAGGTGTGCCTTCACTCTGTCAACTCATCCATCAGGTTAACAACATTTGAAGCGTTGTTCAAACAGCTAACAACATCCAGCTTATAGGTGGGAGGGGATCTTTCTAATTATAGGATTTTCTTGACATGTTTAAATATTAATTGCTTACACCTGTGATGACTGCAGGCTGTTTTATCTCTTCTGACATGGAGAAGGGAGATCCTGGCTCCCGGAAGCTTAGTCAGAAGTAAAGGACATCTAGAAGGAGATAACATCAGTGTAATAGGGTAGATGAGAAACAGAAACTAAGGAAAACAACGTGTCTGAAAATGCTTGAAATCCTTCTTGCTGACTAGCCAAGAATAGAAACAAGGCACTACATGGCTGTTCAGAAAAGCTGTTCTTTTATGTAGAGAATCCATGTGAGGAAGCAAAAAAACAAACAAACAAAAATTAAATAGCAAAATATCCTATCACTGTCTCCATCACACTAAGATTTCAAGGGCTCTGGTCACACAGTTGTTCCTTGAGGTAAATTACTCAGACTAAAAGAACAAATAATGAATTCAGAAGCTCAGTGCTCCACCTTGGACATAAAGGCAATGTCTACTTGACTTGCTTGCAGTTATTTTCAGGAAGGATCTTCAGAAGAGCAATGTGAAATCCACAAACTCCTGAAGAGTTAAGCTACTGCTTGAATCTTTGGGTTTTGACCACACACCACCGGACAAATGGAAAGGTGATGTTTTCACAACTAATACCATGGTGGAACCCATGTCTTCTTAAATGTGAAAAACGCCAATCACTTGTTTTTAGAATTTTAAAAGTTTAATGGTAATAAAATGGTTATAAAAATAGTAATATAATTAGAATAATAAAAATCTGGACAATTAGGATTTAGGACAATATGAGACAATAAAAACAAAGAGTTACACACAGGGTACCTCTTTTCTGGACAAAATAAGCCCAACAAAGGACACCCGTTAACAGAGGATAAACCCTTAAAAGTAATACCCTGTTGCATATTCATACATCTCATACATGATGCATAAATTCCATTCAAACAGAGGATTCTGTTTGGTCAGTGTCAGCTTCTTCCTCTGAATGCTAACAGCATCTTCAGGGCTGAGTGAGGTGGGAAGAACTCGATAGGAGACAAATAAATTCTTTTTCTCTGAAAGATTTAGATGTCCTGTGGCTGCTATCTGGTGCAAGTCCTCTCTTTAAAAAAAAGTATCTTACATAGAATAGTCTCTATTTTAACATTATGTTAAAACCATATTTAACACACTTCTAAAAAAATTTAATACAGCATAATTTTCTAACATAACACACATAATATTCATTTTAATATTTGCAAAAAGCCAGTCATAAAATACACATTTTTCAAATTATATAATATCTGTGGACTAGTTATTATATTTCATGCACTGTTAGTCATCCTCTCTCCATGGCATCTTACCTTGATCTGTGTGCCCGCTTTCCGTCCTTTGGAAAAGCTCACAGACATCCCTCTGCTGCACCTCAGCATTTCAGATGGGACAAGTGACAATGTGAGATGTCACAATCTTAAACTGCACCAGGGGTGGTTTATGTTGGACCTTAGGAGGTATTTCTTTGCGGAGAGGGTCACTGAGCATTGGAATGGGCTGCCCAGGGAGGTGGTGGAGTCCCTATCCCTGGAGGTGCTTAATGAAAGACTGGATGTGAAAAACACCAATCACTTGTTTTTAACATTTTTAAACATTTAATAGTAATAAAATGGTTAAAAAAACAGTAACACAATTAGAGTAATAATAATCTGGATAAACTCAATTAGGACCATATGATAAAATAGACACAAAGAGTTACAGACATCTGGGTACCTTTTTCTGGGCATCACAAGCCCGAAAAAGGACCCTGGTTAACAGAGGATTAACCCTTAAAAGCAATAGCCTGTTATTCATACACTTCATACATGATGCATAAATTCCATTCAAACACAGGATTCTGTCTGGTCATTGTCAACATCTTCCTCTGAATCTTACCAGCACCTTCGAGGTGGGAAGAAGTTAATTTCTTCTGATAAGAGGGCAATAAATTTTTTTTCTCTGAAATATTTAGGTGTCCTATGGCAGCTATCTCGCTGCAAGTCCTTTCTTTTAAACTAAGCATCTTACATAGATTAGTTTCTATTTTAACAATTTTTATAACCTAAAACTATATTTAACACAGTACTTAAGAGAATTAATACATCATTACATTCTAACACAACACATATAATATTCATTTTAATATTTGCGAAAAGCCAATCATAAAATACATGCATTTTTCATAGTGGATGTGGCACTCAGTGCCATGGTTTGGCTGACATGGTGCTGTCAGGCCATAGGTTGGGCTCGATGATCCCAGAGATCTTCTTCAACTTCATTGACTGATTTTGTGCTCTGGAGCTGTCAGGAGACCTTGGGAGGTCACCTCTGTGTCAGTAAATGCACAGCAGAAACAAGACAGCCTCCTCATTTTGACACATATTACAGCCACTGCTGTTACAACAGAGATCTCTTTTATTTTTTTCTTTCTAGCTGTGCTCATAATTAAAGCGCTTGTTTTGTGAAATAAATACAGCTATCTGCTCTCATGAAGTGAGCCCGCTGTCATCCACTCAAAATGCTTTATTTAGTGAGTAAATTACTTTTAATTATTAATATTTTAATTTTAATGTATTTTTATTTTATCAATTAAAAAGAAACAAAGAACCAGAAAAACCCCGAGTGCCCCCTTGCACCAGGCGAGGCCTGGCCCCACAGCCGGCCTGCGTTAGGCCGGAACCAAACGCTCGGAGCGCGTTTCCGCCGGGGCCGCTCCGCGTGGCGCAGCTGTGGCCGGGCAGGGCCGCAGCCATGGCCGACACCGCTGCGCCGCCGCCACCGCCCGCCGCGCCCACCCCGGGGCTCCCGGCAGCTCCCGGCACCAACCCGCTGTCTCGCAAGCTCAACAAGATCCTGGAGACGCGCCTGGACAATGACAAGGTGGGTCGGGCGGCGGCGGCGGGACGGGGTGGGGGCCGGATGAGCCGTCAGGGGCCGCGGGCCCCGACAGGCTTCGCGGCGGGGAGGCGAGTCCTGCCGTAGGCTCAGTTCCGCTGCGGAGCTGCGGGCGGTCCTTTGCAGCATTAACTGAGAATAAAATTAGTTTTCGCTTCTCCAGCAACATGCCACGCTCCTATTTTATCCCTTCAGATCGTAGGGAGGTTTGTATTACTTGCCTCGGAAGGGCATTTCTGAAGTTTTTTGTAATTTAAATGTTTTCTTGCTGTGGGTAGGTCATTCATTTACAGAAAATAGTCTTATTGGTTAAAGCTACTGCAAAATTGTGGACAAACTTTTTCTGTTATAAGAGAAGAAGAAAGGCTCAGCAATTATTTTAGTTGTTTGCCAGCTGCTGTGGAGTGTGTTAACGTAGCTTTTCCTCTAAAACTATTTATTAGGTTTGCTTTATATTTAATAAGACCATGAACTTGGGATGGGTACAGACTATTTAACCTGCTTCTTTGTAACTGCAGTCAAACTGAAGGTCGTTCTTTATTTTCTAGGAGATGCTGGAAGCACTCAAGGCTCTCTCGACTTTTTTTGTGGAAAACAGTTTGCGCACTCGGAGGAACCTGCGTGGAGACATTGAACGCAGAAGCTTGGCCATCAATGAAGAGTTTGTGCACATATTCAAGCAAGTTAAAGAGGTAATGTTTTTGCAGCATAACTAGCTATTTTACTAGAGTACTGTTATGTGATTTCAATTTAAAAAAAAAAAATAATTATGAAAAGAGATTTTAACTTCCCAGGACAGTAATATTGTTTCATTTGTTGGAAGTGTTGCATTGGATGTTTCAAACACATCCAAGTCCTGACTGTTACTTGATATTTAGGGGTGCATTACTCTGCACTGACTAACAGGGACAACTTGAACAATGATGTACCTTGAAATGGGGCATCTAATTGTGGTGGGAAGCTGGGCCTGGACACAGCATTTCTGATTAAAAACACAGTTACTGTTGTTTGAACTTAGGAACTTGAGAGTATAAATGAAGATGTGCAAGCAATGAGCAGCTGCTGTGAAGACATGTCCAGTCGTTTGAAGGTAATATATAAATGAAAGTGCTTTGAATATTTTCCCTTTTGAGGTGTGACTATGTCCTTTTAAAAGGACAAAGAGTTATTTTTGAGGATTAAGAGCAGCAGCAAGATGTTTCCATGGTATGCGTGTTATGTTACTCTAGGATATTAATGTGCTGCTTCTTACTTGTTTAGAAAATTGTATCAAGGAAGTAATTTTAATTTCTTCCAGACTGCAGTTCAAAATGCAGCCATATACTTATTTTGATAGCAGCAATGTGAAATCCATGTGTGCATCAGTGGAGAGAAAATATTTTATTAGATTGGATGTGTGTGAGATTAAGGGTTAATTTGTGTATTTCTATTTAAGATGGCTTTTGTATTGACTGTGTCTCTTGAGTTATGTGTTCATGCGAATGCCTCAAGTATATTCATAGGAAAGTATCTGGTAACTCAAAGAGGGAGGCAGATCTGGTGTGCATTTTCAGTGTATTGGTTTTGTCTCTTAACAGTGTCTCAGAGTGCTGATATGCAACAAAACCAATTCTGTTTTGCCTTAATCCTGAATCTGTAATATTCCTGTCGGGGCTGGGGAGTGTAGGACATTTGTGTTTTATGGTGCATTACTAAGTCTGGCTTGGTTTTAGGCTACAAGTTCAAAATTCAGTGCAGTGATGCATATAAATGGCTTATGGATTCTGGAGTGTAGATGTTTTGCCAAACCAAGCCTGTTCCCAATACAGCACATAAGTGACAGCATGTGAATAAGAATCCTTCACCAAAAAAAATCCTGTGAAAACAGTTGTTTTCCTCTCCATATGTGTGTGTATGTGGATATTAGATGTCGTCCTACTTAGATAAATAGGTTTCACAGTCATTGTTGATATGCTTGTAGCCTGATGAACTTGTACCAAAAGATGTGAGAGTACAGCATAGCCAACTGCAGTGCTTAAATTTCAGTTTTGGAAGGAACTGGGTAATGCGCCTCTGAGGTCTCAGATCTCTTTGAACATTGTTAATGTGGATATATTCCCTAGTGCAGTTCAGGAACTGTTAGACTAAGCTCTTTAGATGTGGAAATGAGTCAAGTGTCCATGCAGATTTTTGCTCTTTTCTGTCTTTAGATCATGAAGTGTAACTGTTGTCTGTGACTTTTTTTTCTTTTCCCAAAGTAGAGCCACCTTGCAGAGATTTCTTTTACTGTTAAAGTCAATAGGTAGTTTTGTTCTGTGCCCCACAGGAGGTTTCCTCTAGAGCCCTGTAGAACTCCTAACTTGTCTTGATTCAATCCATATTTTCTTTGTCTGAGTGTAAAGTTAATAACCTCATGAACTAGCTCGCAGTTGTGAAATACTCTGGTACTTTATCTGTAGTAGGACAGGAAGACTTGCAGGCATGTGCTCAATATATAAATAAGAAGAGTAAGAAGACAGAAATGAGCTAAGTAGAACAAATAGAAGGAAGAAAAAGGAGGATTTGGGGCATATAATGCAGAAAAGTGTGCAAAGAGACAAGTGTATTAAAAAAGCAGAAAAAATGCAGGACATGAAAGGGAATATATTTGGATAAGCCAAAAAGCTTTTTAGCTTTGTTATTTTGTAAGTTTGTAGTAACATCTGATCCAAATAGCCATATATTGTCACATCTGATTTTAGGACAGTGACTTGAGAAGTACAGTGGCTGAAAGAGAGAGAAGGAGCAAGTGCTAAAATGGAATTCACTGGGGTTGAAGTATAATGAAATTTTAACTAATATACTGAGGTGGGGAGGAAGGGAAAAATAGTTCTGTTTTGGATATAGAAGAAACACCAAATGCCAACTTTCTGATTTCTCCAGCATGTCTGACAGTTACCTTCTTAGGTTAGATGTAAAGTCTTATATTTCATACATAAAATATTGACAATATTTGGCATGTATTTGAATGCACTTATGTAAACACTGGCTTCCTGGTATATCTGGCTAGATTCAGAAAAAATGCTTTTTCTTCTTTTCTGCTGTCCTACTGTTGGCATTGTTCATGGTCATCGGTACTTCTGCCCAGAAAGTACTGGAAAGAAAGCAAATTTCCTCTTCTTTGTTTATTGAAATTTGCAATTAAGTTGGACATGAATTGTTACAGTCCTACTTTCACCTTTCAAAGCATTTCTGTACCTTTACTGCTTTTCTGTTACAGCTAATGGAGTGGCAGATAAAAAGGCTGAATTGAATCACTCTGAATAGATACTTTTGTTAAACCTCGCAGGGGTCTCAAGACTGGCATCTTCAATTTGGCAAGCTATAATTTGGCTGTAATACAGTATTGAAATTATTCACAGAATGTCTTTATTACCATTTCCACCTCTTCACTTGCAGTATTATTCTATACAGAATGCATTTTGATTTTAGGATTTTTTTTGTGAAATTGTCTCAGTTTTTCTGCATAAGGATTTGCTGGTGGCATCCAGTGTGAAGCCAAAAATCCAGCTGTCTTTTAGCTTTTCACAGAGCAGTAAGTTTCAGAAGTCTTTAGTTGCAGCAATCCTTTTAGTTATGCAGTTGCTGTCTGACACAGAATTGTTTCTGCTTGGATTCCCTTGCACTGCCATCACTCAATATTTAGGGCTGTGTTGAATTTCCTGGGTTAGACTGCTAGAGTCATTCAGATTGGGAAAGACTTCTGAGATCATTGAGTCCAGCCCAGCATTGCCAAGTCCACAACCATCCCCTGTCCCTCAGTGCTACGCCTGCACATCTTTTAAATACCTCCAGGGACTGTGACTCAGCCACCTCCCTGAGCAGCCTGCTCCAATGCCTGACCATCTTTTCAGTAAAGATATAAAGTTATTTTTCCTAGTAATTGTCCTTGGTCCATGCAGCACTGTAAGCTGTTGGACTGTAGAGCTGGGCTTGCTTAGACTTTCATCATCTTTTCTAAAGAAGAGTCTGAGTGGACATTGGTACTGGGCTCTTTAGCATCCAAAGGTATTTGTTTCATTTTTTTATTTTGTGACAGCAAATGATTTACAGTTGATGGGCAAAGAAAATAGAACTATTTCACTAGTATTTATAGCATTTCTCTATTAAATATAAATTCGAAATAAACTGTGTGAATATATATGTATATAAACATGAAAATAAATATGGATAAGGATACAAATTTATTTATTTTACTGCCTGGACATGGGGATAGTTAATGAATACTTGTTTCAAGAAGGCCTTTTATTTCAAAGAATATACTCATTTAAATTGCTTATACTCAGAAAGCTTCGAAAGTATTACCTATTTTAAACATTGTTTAATACAATTAACATGTTTGTGTTTTTCACATGCTTAACAATTCTAATTGTATTCTAGGCAGCAAAGGAACAAACCCAGGACTTGATTGTAAAAACCACAAAACTCCAGGCAGAAAAGTATGTATACTACCTTGTTTATTTGATAGAATTTTCTTTTAGATGTTACTCTGACACTTTGATTCATGACTTCGGGATTTTTTCAATACCATATGTGTTTTTAGCTCAGTTGCACTCCTTGATTACTGGCAAATGATCCAAAAAGGTAAGAATGTGTATTATTGTTTGTTTCAATAAAAATTGGCTTTTTAGGGAAAACAATAATTTACAGTGGTAGCACATGCTAAATGTGGATGTGCTTTGCATGCAGTCTGTTGATAATGTAGGTTATATTGTGTCATAACAGATATGGACCAACTCAATTTCCTATCAGTTTGACAGGCTCCTTGTTATTAATGTTTTGTATCCAGTGGAAATCTCTTTTTTTAAGGGGCTGTATGAAGAAGTGCACAGTGGGATTCTAACCTACTCTGCCATATTTAAAGGTGACTGTAAAATACAGGAGTGCTGTTTAATGATCCTAGCACAGATCACTTTTTCCATTGGTTCTCCAGCCTCCCGTGGAAGAACAGATTTGTATTTTTCACTTTTCAGTATTTTTTATTCCTGAGAAGGGGATAATAACCAATGACTGATTCAAGCAGTCTATTGTTTTTTGGCTAGGATGTATGGTTTTATAGCTTCAGGTTTTCTCAGTGTAGAAAAATGAGTCCCCTTGCTTTATGAGCTTTCTTCAGAAAATTATATACAGTTCACTGGAGGTCAGAAATAATTATTTTGCAGTACTAAGTTTCTAGTGGAAATTACGGTTTTGGATTGCTCTCGGTGAGCTTTCAAAATCAGTAGGTTTATGATATGAGTGTCAGTAGAAAATCTGTACATATTTTAAACATTGAATGCAGAACAACTGCATAAAATGCAATGCTGTTTCGTATAAAGTGAAGGATTTGGTAAAGACACTTAAAGTAAGTTAGCAGAAGTCTTAAAAAATACATCATTTTGAATATGAGTGTGTGAAACAGTAGAACAGAGAAGTGGTCATATAGTCTCAAGACAAGGGAAGCTGCTTTGATTCCTTGTTCTGAAGCAGAATAGGCGATACCAAGACCAGTCCCAAGAGGTGTATGTCTAATTGGCCTTAAATTCCTCAATTAAAGATTATGCAGACTGTGCATCAGTGCCTCCACAATATAGTCCTTACTTGCACTATAGTTTATGTAAAAGACTTTCTGCTAATTCCTTTAAAAGACAGAGCATCCCCCTAGTGTGAAGAGGAAAAATGTTTAGGAAGTAATCTGTCCTTCTAAGTATCTGTGTGACCTTGGAGTGCACATGCAGGAAAAAGTTCAGAGGTTTGTTTTTTAAGTATACCATTAAGTACTCATAAGCAGAAGCCAGAAAGTACTTGTGACTTTTACAGTCTGATAGTTATGGAAGATTCATCATACCATTATATTAGCAAAGTAGAATTTTTCCCTCCCTAAATGTATGAAAAATTGTGAAGACTGTTTGGTTCCATCTGGGACATTTTAGTAATTTGTTATTTAAACTTGTTAAAGTACTGTTTGTTCTGATGCATTCCTTTGGTTTACATCAGCCCTATGAAGAGGCATCTGCTGCCAGATGTTAGGGGATTCTTGAACACCTGAAATCTGGCCTCTGAAAAAGTACAGGTCTTAAATTGCTGATGTCTTCAACTTAATGTGACCTTTTTTAGCCAATTAATAAGTAGTGAAACTGGAAGGATATGGTTTCTCTGTCCTCTGAGGGTTGTCCCAAAATGCTGTTGAAATGCAGAGATTAAAACTGGACATGTTCTATTATGTTTTTCTATTAGGCTTAGTATTTATGGGATTTACTTTAGCTGACCATGTTTTTGTAGCTGGAAAAATGTTAGGATTTTATTCAATGATCTGAAGCTGAAGGTAGACTGTAAACTTCCAGATGTTTTTAATGTGTAAATGTTAACTAGGGATTTAGATTATTTTCCTTTTTTTTGCTGTACTTAAAAAGGAATGGCTGTCTCAGTGGCTCTGTGTGTGGGTACTAGGTTTCTATAATAAGCAGTTTTGTCATTGTGTTATCATCTATGTAATTAGTTGTAGTTCAAGATGGTTTTTGGTTTTCAAAGCTTCTTACCTGAACTCTTGTTTGTTGTCCTGGTCTCTGAGATTTGTGGTTTGAAGGTTGAGCTGCTCACCTGGTGTTTCCTGTAGGTAGTCCTGGTGAGCACTTTGGGACTTCGTGTGTTGGTGAAATGTGTGAATTTAACAGATCTGGGTAAATATTTGGGATAGAAAATTAGATTTTTGTCTCAGATTTAGGTTAAAACTTACACATTCTTGAGTTTTTGCTTTGTAGCATTTTTTTTCTTGTTACTTAGTTTGTGAGCTTTAGACCTGCTTTGGCATAAATGCTAAATGTAGGGTCTTATTTAGATGACAAATTTTAAAAGTAATTAATGCAATTGCATTTTTATATTTGTGAATATGTAATTTCTTTGGTCAGTTAGATTGCTTATTCTGAATTTATTTCTTCTATGAAGTCTAGTTAAAACTACTGTACATTGGAAACAGTTTTCTGTCACACTATTTAAATTATGATATCTGCTTGGCATAGGAAATGAGATTTTTTTTTTCCTTTTTCCTTTAAAACTGAGACTTACCATAACTTAATAGAACCATGTAGTGTGAAATAAAGTAGTCCAGACATCCAGCCCATCTACCTCTTCATAACAAAAGGTTAAGTTATTGCTTCTCAGTAACAAAGAGTCTTGAATAGAGTGTTCAATTTAATAACAAGCTTCTATAATAAAGAAAAACTGAGTTAATTCAGGCAATTTCTAGTAATTGTTAAAAATCCACTTACATTTTAGTTATCTTCAGTAGATTTTTTGTACTTCTACTTGAGCATGCTAATATTGCTTTCAGGTTGCATTAGGTTTTTATGTATAATGAGGAGATTACTGTGTTTTCAAACAATGATCATCTGTTGTGCTTTAAAAGGTGTGGGTTTGTTTAATTGTTATTACTAGCAGGCTGACAGAAAAAGGATCTTGCTTGCTCCTTGAAGTGAGATTTTAATAATAGCTTCCTCTGACTTGTTGGTTCTCTGGCTACCAGCCACTTAATAATAAGATGTTGTGCAAGATGTTGTGCTGTTTTTGAGGTTAGCCACAAGTTAGAGTCATCAATGTAACAATTGAGAAGAGAGACCAGAAGGTAATACTTGCAATATTAATACTTATAAAATTAAGTAAGAACAGTTATGTAAGTGTGTGTATATGCTCAGGGGCTTCACTGAAAATAAGTCTGCAGAAATATAAAAGTTTTTGAGGGCTAGAACTAGTGTTCTAAAAGTAAAAACCACAATGCTCTGAAAACCATTATGAAAGAATGGAAATGGCTCAGACAGATATTTCTTGAGTCAGGCTACTGGTTCAAAGCTTTTGTGGTGATTTTGCACTTGAACACCTTTACAAGCTATCTTATTTTGCTATGCTCTCTTAATTGCATTCTTAAACAGAGTGAAATTTGTAGTTTGATGTCAGAATAATTGTTAGTTATATCAATTACAAAAAAAGCCAATTACATTGTTTTACTTTTTAAAAGACAATTAAATATGATTCCCAGACAGGAATGTAAGTGCGCACTTCAGTTTGTTTTAATTGAATCACATTACATTCAGGCTTGATCTTTTTTTAAAAAATATCAAACACCATTCTTGGAATTAGTCAATTATTTGACTGTCACCTCTGTGCTCAATACAAGCTTAGAAGTCTTAGGAAAAATGTTTACAAGTGAGTCTGCTTCAGTGTGTTACACTGCTGATTTTTCATCCTTGTCTCTTGGTGATGCCTTTTTCCTTTTCTAACAAATATCTTTTTTGTCATAATCAATTTGGAACTTAGGCAACAAGTTCAGCACTGTTTGGGGCAGATTAGAGAGGTCTGCTTTTATCAGCCCGTGCTAAGAAAAATGGTGATCTGGTGGTTTGCATTGATGAGATGTATTTCATGTGTTGATCTTTTGAAACTTGTATTTACATTTATTCCCACGAATGTGCTTCATGAGAAAAAGCAGTGATTACCTAAACTGAATTATAATTCCATGTGAGAGAGGGTGAAGACTTGAAGTTCCAAGGCTCATTTTCTATCCTGATTTGTAGCAAAGTAAAACATAGGTGACAAGGTGTAGCAGAGGAATAAAACCAGCTAAAATGGGTCTGAAAGAAAAAACCCAAAACTAACTTGTCACATTCTAGCCATGTCCAGCAGAAAGCATGCAAAGCCTTATTTTCTTGCCAGCTTTTCTTCCTGGGAACTCTGGCAACTGAGACATGAAGTACTCTTGGTCAGTATGAAATGAAGCGTGGTTTTACAGGTCGAGAAACATTCACCAGAAGTGCAGAATCAGTTACATGGTATCATTTCTGACTGATGTTTGTGTGATCTGCTTTGGGAAAAAAAACCCAGGAACAGAAGGACCAGAGAGCTTGTGGTCTTCACTGGAAATTCATTTTGGTTTTATTTTTTTCCTACTATCTGATTTAGTTCTCCTTTTGCTGCAGCTTAAGCTCATTTCTTTTGATTTTATTCCAGGTGGATGTAGAGAACAGTGTGTAATTTCCATGCCTTTGGTAACATTGCTGAATTTGATGGCAAATTTGAAGCTAGACCAAGCAGGCACCTTTCAAGTGACTTTATATCAGAATTTTAAAAGATAATCTGCAGATACCAGTCTGTTTGGTATACAAATATCAAATAGCTCATCCCTACAAGATGGAAAAGAATGTGTTCATTGGAAACACACTCCTCTTAAACTTAGTCTGTGAGATCAACTTAGAAACCATGGATCATGGATCTTAATCATTGCCAAACAGTGATTTACTGTGTGCATTCACATATCTATATCTGTATATATCACAGGATCTCTGCAAAGCTCTGCATATGAAAATTTTGTCCAAAATATTCCATGCATACCCATCATATTTAGAGAAAGCCTTACCAGTATAAAGGTAGAAAATGATTGAATTTCTTGAATTTATTTAGATCATGTAAG